GTATTTTTACAATCTTTATTTTACAGTTAAAATAAATGTTTATCAAAGTCTAATGTTACAACTAATCATGGATCCCTTTAAAATAATTAATGTCAATAATTTATTTAGAGATGCTAAACATCTCAACAAAAAGATCATAGAAGGGTTAAAATTAGCTCAGATTATTATTTACCTTTTTAATCTCTAAACTGTGGTTGTTGAGCGAGCTATCTACAACAGGTAGGATATTTACTCWTCATAAGTTTCACAGAAGCCCACTTCAAAAGATCTTAACTCTCCATCTGAATACTCCTGAGTACCCCAGCGAGGTAAATTGAAWGTTTCTTCTCTAACAATCTTCTGTTTTGAAACTTTTTTTGTTTTGGGAAACTTTCTGCTGCAGGTAAACTGTATGACGATTCTGATCTAATCCTGTTTTGAATCATCTGTCAGTTCAGAAAGGTTACAAGCAAACAGTTCTCAGAAAACAAGAGAGAGGAGGAGAGATGAAAAAAAGAGGAAGCACGAAAAATGCTTTGATTCCCACAACTGACTGACCTCTGTTGAAGAAAATAAAACAAACTTTCCATCTGAGCAGACACTCCTGCCTCTCACTGTTTATCTCTCAACTTCCTTTTATTTGCCTCGTCTTCTTTCTTTCTTTACAATGTGTGGCCACCACTCCCTTCTTATTCTTCCCTTTCTTTTCCCAGGGACAGCATGGGATTCTGCTTGCACTTTTTCTCTCCCGTTCCTCTTCCTCGCTTCTTCTTCTCTGTCTGCAGATGAGTTGTATAAAGTTTCTGTCATCTCGTTTTCTCTGTTTGTGACCACCAGCTCCTCTGCATTGTTTTCGTCCTTTTTTTTTTCTTTTTGTCCTTCTTTTCTCACAGCTCCCTTCTTGTTTATAGACGTGGAAGTGACCGTCACACACATGCACACACAGAGACACACACGCTGACGTTAATAAGACCTCCTGAGAGTCTCAGAGCAAAAAGGTCAGGTGCATGCAAGAAAGTGTGTATTTTCATAATTTGGCTTGCTACAAATAYAAACACAAAAATAAAGCCACAATGTCTTCAGTTTGCCAGAAAACCTCTGCTGATTATCYGAATAGATTCCAGTCTGTGGATTTTATCTCACAAACACTAAGATTATGACAGCCACAGATCCACCGAGGCTGTGCCCACCCGTGTTTTCACACAGACAAATTACAATACAGTTATRCACGTCTACAACCACCAAGCTAACCGGCATTAGCATTAGCCAACACCAAACTGTCTTCAACTCAATCAATTTAACAGATACTGAGCAAAAACTTGATACGGTAGTAGCTGAGAGTCAGTCACATGAAATCCCTATTAGCGTGCGAGAGTGTGCACACTGTGGCATGATTAACCGACAACTAACAGATGACAACGGCACTTTCATGTAGCAGAAGTTGTGGCCTTGGTCCATGTTTTCTGGCTTTCCTCGTACCCTGGTTTATGTCGGTGCTTCGGTTGATGAACAAGTTTAGGRTTTAAGTTAGCGTTAGATGCTCTGCGCCGCCTTCCGCCATCAGTCTCCTATGTGAGCCTGATAGTGATGGTATGTTACACACAAAAATGTATCAACGTGCCACTAACCGTAACTGCAAAGTGGCAGATATTAATTGTGGACAGTTTTTTCTGACAATTATTTGCCCAAGATATGAYTTTTCCTAAMCCWATACTATTATTTTCTAGGTTTGACYAAAATGGGTAAAACTCCTTCATGCCTCAACATAAAAGTTGGCGGGTGATTTGGGTTCCTTCGAGGAATGCTAGGCCTTTAASTTTAGTCAGCCACAAACAGAACCCCAAGACCTGCTGAGCTCTRTATGCCAACAAGGCCAACGCTGGACCAAAACTGCCCCATTGTTAATGCCTGGTGTGTCCCTCCACTGCACCCTGTCCCTATGGGGGAGTGGGGGGGGGGGGTGTCAGGAGGGAGGACGGGGTGAACTTGTCTACATCAAAAGCTTTGTGGAGATACAGTGGCGCTCATCACTCKACATCCTCCTTTCTTCCTCTCCACCGCTCGCTGCCGGAGCCATTCCCTGCATACCAGCGTTTCAGCGCTCAGTCAGACCAGAGACGGGGAGGACAGGGGAGTCCGGGGAAGGCGGGGGGAGGGGGGGCAGCAGTCAGCACTCTATGTTCACCATGTGACCCTGCGTGGTGGCCTGGAGCAGTCAGAACTCGGCCCGTCGCACAGCTAATCCCCTCAGACCAAAGCCTGGCCTTTAAGGTTCAGTGATGGAGCTCTGTGTTAACTGTGGAGGCAGGAGGAGCTGTTAAAAGATGCTGAGCTGACTGAGGACACAAGCTCTGAATAAAACAACCACAAAACTTTTACTTCAGAGTAAAACTTGGATTTTGGAACACAAAATCCATCACCTTTTGGTACACAGAGAAACATACTGTGTACACTTATCACAATTTATCTCATGCAGAATCGTGGAATCTGTTAAAACTCTGAACGTGTTGAGGAATACTCTCAGCTACCACATCAAATTTGACTCCAATCATTTAAACTGGTTCAGTTATAGTCAATAAACTGTGGTTGCCATCTTAAATATGGTTGTTGTTTTTTTCAGTTTTGGAAGTTTTGTTAAAATCTGTCCAGTGGTGACAGAGGTATTCAGTAAACAAACMAACACACACCCAACACACACAGACATGGACAAAAACACATCATCTCTCATCTCCAGCGATGGTGGCAATCACTGATGCTTGTGTCAGAAAAAATGCAGAACACTGGGCAGATTTCAGCCTTTGAAAARAGCAATTATTTCTCTGTCATTATGTTTCATTTGGCTCAAAATTGAACATCCTTCGTGTTTAGTAGAAGATGTTTCCTTTCATCTTATTTTCTGACGTGTAAAAGAGCAGTAATGTTTCATTTTAATCATAATAAAGTGGCAACTGTTGGTTGAGCTTTCCCACTTTGTTTCGTGTTATTTTGTTTGAGTCAACAAGCGAAAATCTCTTCTTGCTTCCAAAATGACATTTTACAACAAAATCTGTGCTGCGTGCCTGAGATACCAATTTACTTCAAAAGCGTGCAATGAAGTGCACTCTAATCTCGTTTCAAAAATTGAGCTTCCATTCGAGAATAGGAGAAAAATCTCATTCTGCAAACCAAAATTACACGCTGGGATAGCTTAGCTTTTACATGCTGCAGTGGAAAGAAAATGAATATAAAGGTGGCAGATAGAGTGGAGAGACTGCTGGGTGTCCGAAAGTCTTATACAGAATATTGGGTTTTACACAACTTCTATTCTGTACAAATCAAGAACTGGGTACATTTGTTTGTATCCTTTTGTTGAACAAAACCTCCCAAAGCTCTGAGAAATAACTTGAAACTGACAAAAAAAGAAAGAAAATCAATTAATGATTGGTTAATTTTGAATTTTGGTACAGCAATTCATTTTTATATGACAGACTCATGAAACTTGCCTCGAAAAAACAGTCAGCGTGTTAAAGGTGTGTCCTGTAATCAGCATCACAGGTGTTTCAGTCTTGTAATCAGTCAGTTTGTCCATTTAGAGGGTTATCATAGTCACAGGGCTGTTTGGCATCGGATTAAACAGAACATAAACCACAGAATGCTAAGTCTTAGCATTGTCTGAGGAACAAAAAACTAAAATTACTGACAGGAAGAAAGACACGTATCTCTAAACAACTTGATGTTTTTGTGACAACAGCTCAGAAGTTTAAGATCCACAGAAGTGAAATTTGTCAAAACGCATAAGCTTCTGAGAGAAAGTCTTTCAGACAAATGAGAAAGAAACTGAGCTTTTTTGGCAACAAGTCTCATCAGCTCTACGTTCAAAGACCCAAAAATAAAACATACAAAGAAAAAAAAACACTTCACAATCAAGGCATTATGGAGTGAAATGTGCTGCAATAAATCAACTGATCGCACTATAAAAATTAGGTCGATCATTTTCACCAGTTCAGGTCAGTTTGATGTTTTTACGTACGTAAATTTCTGTAAGTGGGTGGGGGATCATTGGGCTCCAAACAATACTATCATTCATGGCAATAATTTCTGACAGTTTATTGTCCAAACCACAGTGCTGCCCAGTATCAGAAAGCTTGGTCTCAGTCACAGGTCCTCTAATAGGACAATGACCTAAAGCACAACAAAAACATCCAACATAGCTCAAACATTGATTTATTCAGACTGGACCTTCTGAGCCCTGATCAAAAACCTGTTGAACATCTGTGGAAGGTGATGAAACAGCATCTAGAGAAAATACTTGTCGACAGGTGCAGAAAGTCTCGTAAAATGTTACAGAAACTGGGCCAGTGTCGTTTTTTATAATCCTGTTTAACCACAATAACAATGCCTAATTTTTATTTGTTGATTTTAATTTTATTTTCATGACCTTTGTGGGGTTTTCKTTCTTCACCCAAAAGCTATAAACAGATATATCAGAGGAAGAAGTCAGGAGATCTGAAGCAGAGACGTGTGTTGTTCCAGAGGTGCAAAGCTGCCCGAATGTTCAGCATTCACACGCCCCTGGGGTTTACTCTCCTGTGGCCCCGTGCACGCACGCACGCACGCACACACACACACACACACACACACACACNCAGAGACGTGTGTTGTTCCAGAGGTGCAAAGCTGCCCGAATGTTCAGCATTCACACGCCCCTGGGGTTTACTCTCCTGTGGCCCCGTGCACGCACACACACACACACACACACACACACACACACACACACACACACACACACACCCAGGAAGCTTTGTGATCTCAGTGTTTACACACAGAGGCCAGATCCTGTCAGCTCACAGGTTAAAAAGGTGAAAAACAAATCTTATTTCCCCCCACATGCTCTCTAATGACACAGCTTCATGCAAGCAAAGATACTTGTCAGCAAGGACCATTAGAGACCCACCCTCAGGGTAAAAATGATAGAAGAAAAAAATTTGTCAAAGATCCACAGGTTATTTTTTAAAAAATACAATAAATTTACACATAAATATGCTCCATGAAACAGATGGAATCTGAACAGGAGAGGTGTGGTGGGTAATTATTTATCCTCCATTACTCGTTGAGAATTCATCAAAATACTTTCAAAAATAAATTAAAGGTTAAGGTTTAAAATGGGCAAATGTTTGATTTTCTATCTGATCTGTTTGCTGCTTGAAATCTTTGTTTGGCAACAGTTTTTGTGAGGTGTGTATTAGACTTATTTTAATGTAGATGTTGACACATGTTGGGCTTACATGCCCATCTACTGAATTAGGATGATAATCTGGAGTGGAAAACAGGCAGCAGCGGGCTGAAACAACAGGTGGGCGCAGCAGCAGCACAAAGAGGAAAGGCTTCTGTCTCTTGTGCAGCTTTTCATGTCAAACACAGGAGAGCTGCAGGTCAGCACTGAGCTTTAAAAGGCATCCTGTCTGAAATAGGACACTCACCTGCGGCTGGACGSTCAGAGCTATGAGAACCACCAGGGTCCTGTGCAGGTGGAGGGGCCCCCGGTGCCGCTCGGCCCTCATAGTCTGCTGCTTCCCGTGGAGCTTCGCGTCTCTGCGCCTCCTGGGATCCGAGAGCGACGTCCTGTCCGCTCTCTCCATCCTCGCGTCCAGAGATTTGGGGGACCGCGCTGTGTTCTCCGTGCCGCACCCCCTCCTCCCTCCTTTCCTGCGCGCTCTCCTCCTCCTCCTCCTCCTCCTCCTCCTCCTCACCGGACTCAAACGCTCAAAGTCCAGCAAAGCAACTTCATGGCGTCGACAGCAGCGTCTGAACCTGCACCTCTTCACTGTTGTGTCCAGGGGATGTGAGTCGCCCACACGCGCTTCATATAAACACACTCCTCTTTGCGCCTTATTCCAGCCCCCACCTGCGTTAAGAGGATTTAAAGGGTCCAATCTGCCGGCTCACTTCGCTTGAACTCTCATCCCAATTAGATGACACACACACTCTCTCTCCTTCGCTTCATCCGTCTCCAAGCTTGATCCACAGAACACACAAAAAAGTGCATGTGTGTGTGTGTGTGTGTGTGTGTGTGTTTAAAACAAAACGGTTATCCAGTCAGGCCAGGGCGAAGACGCAGCGAGAAAAGTTGTCTGCGGAGTGATGCTTCCAGTCTGCAGGCTCCTGATCTGAGCGGCTGCTCGCTCACTTGTGAACCCGATCCGAAGCCTGGCAGCGGCAGAGTCGGTGTGGGAAACAATGAGAGAGAGGAGGAGGAGAGAGAGGAGTGAGGAGGGTGTGTCCTGAGGCAGGGAGTATCCGTCACTCAGCTCCTCTCGGGATAGTTCCCAGCGCGCACCGTGCGCTCTCATCCTTCTCAGTCTGTAAGCCCAGCTGCCCAACCCCAACTTTTCTTTTCTTTTCGGTCACATTTGACGCATGGGATTATCCTGAATGCGTCTGGGTTTTGAGTTTCCACTCTCTCCCCTCCTTCCTGCTTTCGCTCCTCCAGTTTCACTTCAAAGCGCCGATCTAATTGACCCGTTTTCACAGCTCTGTCCAAGCCTCAATAAAAAACACATTAAAACCACCTTAGAGAAAGCCAGATGCATTGACAGGAAGCTCTGCTGGTGCGTGCAGGAGCTTCAACTCCACCTGCAGCCCTGCCTCTCTGATCGCCACAAATCAGTGATGAAACTTGTTCCGACAGCTGCAGCTACATCCTGCTGTTCTCATGCAGCTGCTTAACGAAGAATAACCGGCTCAGCGCAGAAATATAAAAGGCACTTGCAGAGTGTGAAGGCATCTTTTCAATACTGGCACCAGCCACATGGCATATTCCCCCCCCCACACGACCACCACATCTGACCTCCAGTGCGCGTCTCGCTGGATTCGAGACCGCCACACAATGTTCCTCCTTTATGCGAGGGGCACCTAATGAGATTCTGCCCCCCTCCTCCTCCTCCTCCTTCATCTCTAAGGTCTGTCACGGGGCTGTTGCTCAAGAGCTTCCCTGACAACCAGTGGTGTTTCCGCGGTGACCCCCTGAGAGGAACAGAGACCTTTTAGAGACAAGAGCTCTGATTTGCATTTGGAGGCGCAGAAACACCCAAACATGAGCTGAATTTTTAACAGAGCATCCGGGAACACGTGGGTCATCAAAGTGCTGCTGATATGTGCGTGTTTGGGTTCACCTGAGGAAGAACTAAAACAAACAAGCGCCGTGCAGCTGCTGATCTAGAAGAGGAGCGTGTGAAATGAGTATTTGGCGCCATCTTGTGGTCACTTTGTGAACACAAGCGTCTGCTTGAAGWGTCTGTGAGCGTCAACTTTTACTGTCTGCACCTGCAGTGACTACAACATCCCTCCGCAGGAAAAAAAAGTCCGCTAATGAGCAGGACAATTATGAAATTACAGAAAAAGATTTTTATACTCAGTCATGGTTACATTAGTGGATACATTACCACTTTCTTTTTTCTTTTTCTTCCCCTTCTACAAAAAAATAAAAAATAGAGAAAACTTGAGACCTACTGGAGAAAATTATCTTTTAAGATTTTACCAGAACCATGTTCTTGTCTGGTTTGCTTACATATAAACATATACTGTTTTTACACTGGAATCATTTTTTGAATTTAAAGCCAAGTTTTGAAAATCTAATAATTTTATCCACAGTTTTAAGCTCTTTAAATCTGAGTCATGTCTGATTCTTAACATTGACACAACTTTTAGCTTTTTAAGTCTGAAGCAACTGACAGAATAATCTTTTGGTATATGATAGTCATCCAGAATCATGCTACACACACACACACACACACACACACACACACAC